CCCCAAAACCCCAAAACCCCAAAACCCCAAAACCCCATAATGCTAATATTTTACTATTTTAATCAATTAAAATTGTACAATAAATAAATTTAAAAATATAAATTAAATGACAGCCAATAAGCAAGAAACTTAATTACAAGATCTTAACACAATCCCAATAAAAGATGACTAATAGCCACTCATTGTTTTGGATGTTCAAACTCAAGATTCTAATTAGAAGTCTATAAAGGAGGGTCCTAAAATACTTTGGTTTTTATCAATTTTTACCGCTTTTACCTGGGGGTTTTATAACTTCGTATACTCGTATATGGATAATAGAGATTTCGCTGCAAGCAATCTCACTTTCTCTGGAAGTTTGTTATTCGCAATAATTTGCTAAATCTATGTCTATAGAAAGACTGATGGAGAAAGTAATATAAAATTTAGAGAAGCATTTCTGAGATCTTATGTAGATGAAAATGGAGTATTTAATAGAAAATTAGCTATTCTTTCAACATTAAGAACGATATTCTACATTAGCAATTATTATTTTTCAATTAAAACTATAGAATTTGGGAAAAGAGCACAGATTAATATAGGAATATTGAATAGTATTTTTACTTTAGGAGCTGCATCAAACGCAGTGGTTGGTTGGCTTTTATTCTAGGAAAAATTAGGGGCTTCTAAATTATAGGCATCATAATAGTCATAATAGGTATAATTTGGATATCTATAGCAAGAGGGAATGCTACAATATCCTAAGATAATCAATATTCTGAGGAAGAGATGGAATACTATAAGTATTTGGGAGTAATCTTCTCTATCATGGTAGCATGCTAAAATTCTTGCAGAGCTACCATAAACAAAATTTGCTGGAAATACTACAAACTTGATCCATTTCTAGGATAGATGGACTCAGGATTTTAGTCTGGTATTTTTTCTCTTGTTCTTGTGATAATTTACTTGATATAAGATCATCCATCAATGACTTTTCATGATGCAATCATAGCTTTCTTTGCAAGTGTTATTGGATTTATTTGTAGTATTACATGCTTCATCGCCGTTTCTAAAGGAGCTTCAGGCCCTAATAGCACTATTTTCTAGCTCTAAAGCTTGTTTTATATGCTATTAGAGGCAGTTATCCTATTCAAGTTCCCAACAATCATTTAGTTTTTAGCTAGCTTATTAACTCTCTTAGGAGTTATTATAATGATGATATTATGAGATAGCAAATCTGAAGCATAGATTTTCTGAGTAATACCTTTATACTAATGCATCAAATATTGAAGATATAATTTTTATTAATTTCGCTTTTGTTCAGAAAAGTACTTTAATTTTTAGCAAAGAAAAGTAAATGATTTATCTAAATAAGTTATATAAATTTAAATGATGTGGAAATAAACAATTTTTATCCTCATTGTCTTGGTAATAAATTTGTTCATTCTTGGATTAGCTCAAGATCAAAATGGGAAATTCTTTCAAAGCTCAGAAAAAGACAGATAACTTGTCATAGGAATTTTATCTTAACCAAAGTATTATTAAGTTTTTTACTTAATGGAGTTTCAGGTCAAAATATAATAAAAATTTTCCAGAAGAATAATATATTTTGGAGACAAACCAACTATTTATTGAGGACTCTGGAGGAGTTTCAGCTGTCCCAATTCATTATGATATCACTGATAGAGATCTATAATAGCTTTTGGAGAAAGTAAATGGTGTTCATTTCACAGGAGGAGGCTTGAATTTAATTGACAAAGAAACAGGCGAGAAACACGTTTATTATAAAACTGCTTCAAAATATGGCATTATTCGATAGAATAAAAAGATAGGTTTGGAGTTAATTTTCCTCTCACTGGCGTTTGCTAAGGATTTGAATTGTTTGGTCTACTAGCTGCACATGGTGAAAAAGATCTACTCAAAAATACTAGCACTTGGAACAAAGAGAGAAATGTTATTTTCAAAGACAAAGAACCTCAGCAAACGTCAAAGATGTTTAAAGATTTGACCTTCTTGTCTTGAAATAAATGTAAACGCAAGATATCTCATTCCATCTTCACTAATGGGGTATCCTTTATGATGACTATCTAGCTAACGAGGATCTGCACTAATTCTTTAAGGTAAATGCAATTGACTATGATGTAAATGACAGAAAGTATCTGACTTAAATAGAAGCTAGGAAATATCCAATTTATGCAATAATGTTCCACCCAGAGTATCAAGTAGTACATGTTAATGAAACAGCTCATAAAAACTTCCTTACTGTTGAAAATCAATATACCCACTATGTCTTTAAACACATCTCAAAGTTTATACACTAAGAAGCTGCAAAAAATGATCATGAATATGGCCTTGGTCTAGAAAATGATGCTTTGAGAAATTATGATACCTACTCTTACATTGTGACAAAGGGTGTTGAAATAAATGCTTTTGCTATTCCTGATAAATATAAAAAAGAGTAGTGAAAAAATCATAATCACAAACAAATTATTCAATTTAATTTCTTTGGAATAATCAATTAAGCTCAAGTAAATGCGTGCTTTATGGGGTTTTGGGGTTTTGGGGTTTTGGGG